TTTTGTGGGTTTTTTTGGGGGGGGGGGAGGGGGCTGAAGTGTTTGCATAAGTGCTGATTTTGCTCTTCCAAACCCTTCAGCTCGGCATTTTTCCGTGCCCTCATCTCCTCGCCTCTCATCGCCGCCACGCCGCTTGCCTCCGTGCCCTTTGCCTCAATTCGTCACACATTAGCTTCATATTACCTCCAGTGGTGCTTGTATCCACCCCGCACACCCCCTCAAAGGAGCAAAACAACTTTACAGACGTCAAAATCGTCAGGAAGACGGGCTTTTGCTTTGGCTTTTCTTTGCGGGGGTGGTGGTGACAAAGCCATACGATGTAAAGCGGTTAAAAGAACGTAAGAGGATGTCAGGATGCCATATAATGAGTCTCTGGTAAACGATCATATTACAGAATGAAGTACGACTTGTATGAACTTTATGTACTTACTCGAAATTTGAATAAGCAACACCTGACAAGTATCGTTCTCACTCAAGAGAAGACTTAACAAACCTTGCGAGAAGAGAGAACAAGCAAAGATGGAGAAGATAGATATCCTAGCCGCTAAGCTAACACGAAAAAGTAGCGAAACGCCAGAATAAGCCTTCGGAGGGCACAGTAAATTTTCAGGAGGAGTCTGGCTGGTACCGTGTTACAGCAGAGTAGTGATGTATGAACAGTGAAGTAACGGCGAACTTAATAAGCGTGTAGTGAGTAAATAATACAACAGCGATATAAATTTCAGCAAAATCCCCCAGGCCTACTGAGCGCGGCAAGAACATAGACGGGGTGCAGCCAAATAACAAATGTTGCAAGGATTCCAGAGTCAATTCGGGACACTGCGGTGGAAAATGAGAATAATCAAACCCTGGATAACATGTAAACATGTCTCTGAATGTTTGAGAGTAACGCAGGGGTGTTGTCCAAAATATAGGGTTGTGGAAATTGTAGAACTCGAAGAAAGCGACAATTTCTCACGTGCGCACTCCGAGAGAGAGTGTGTCGTGTTTTTTTTTTATTTGCACCACAAAAAAACCACTCGTGCCAAACGAAGCCCGCCGAAAGTAAGTTTCCATAGAAACAAGCAGACTAAAATGGCGGTCCTTAAAGGGACTGCAATTATTTCTACCCCGTTACCAAATAATCGTGAACTCTCTGACAAGCATATGAACATTGCATTCACACATTTGCAGTTGGTGGTGAATTATGTACACAGAAGTCACTACACCTTCATTTTTATCCTTCGAAATGCAAGTGTTGAACTGTTCACTCACTGTACTGTGTTCGACATTTAGCGTTGCAATCCAGATCAAGCAGAAGAAGCTGAAGGAGCAAAAGGCTCAGTTCGAAGCTCAGTACACTCAAACGACAACCAACCTGGAGCATGAAATCGCCACGCACTGCAACCTTGAGGCGATGGTCAACGTCAAGAATGCCGGCGACGAAGGCTCCGACCGCGAGAAAGGTGAACCTTTACTCGATGAGAAGGATGGATGGATCGATAGCTTAGAATAAACAGGCACATGTTTGTCTAACGCAGACATGTCCAGCTCCAGTCCTCGAGGGACGCTATCCTGCCTGTTTCACATCTCTCCGTCCTGCAACACACCTGATTCAAATGATCATCTCATAAGCAAGCCCGATAACATTCCTGATCATTGAATCAGGTGTGTTGGAGGAGGGAGACATCTAAAACATGCGGGACAGGAGCCCTTGGCGACCAGATTTGGATTTGGAAAAGCAGATTTGGATTTGCTTCATTATTTCTAGCTAAAAAAAAAATTGTCCCTCATTAGCATTTACCAAAAAAATTCCGAGGCTGAATACTCTTAATATTGTCCACAGCGGATCTTCTGGATCAGCTACAGAAGTTGGCACATCTGGAAGATACCATCAGGAAAATCCTGATTGAGACGGGAGAGAATGACCTTGACACACTGGTGGAAAACTTCTTAGGAAGTAGGGTCAAAATTCAGCAATGGTCAAGAATCACCGGAGTGATTTTCCTTGAAAGTAATTTGCGTTTTTCTTTTTCATCAGTGGAGGAGGAGAACTATTCGTTACTGAGCTTTGTCAACTATCAGCACTGGGAAGTGGAGGACATGAAACAGCAGATCGCTCAGGTTTCGTGCCGCTCATTTTCCAAACTAGGTCATTGGAAAAGTCCAGTTCGGTTGTCATTGGACTGAATGTGCCGCTTGCTTTGTCCCCACCCAAAGCTTTACAAGGAGAGTGAGCTCTTTGTTGCTGAGCAGAAACAGCAGGCTCAGGATCGCCAAGCTCTCCAGGCGGCCATTACCACTAAGCAAGAGACTACTGAGGAGCAGCTAAGCGGCTACGAAAAGCGAATTGACTTCCTGGAAAATATTGTCAACAGCCTTAAAAAAGGTACAGCAGAGCAACTGAAAATCCAGTGGTGTGTTGTACGCTGTATAATAACAAAAATAATAACAATACATCTTGATGTATATGGCGTTTTTACAACCGCTGCAGCTGTAACAAAGCGCTTTACAGAACGTTTAACATAAAATTAACAAAACTACAACCAAGCATCAACAATAATACAATCGTAACAACTCTTCCCGCGTACGCCTGACAAGCTTAATGCTGCATTACCACCACCAACAGGTATTCTCCTTCCAGCGAAAGGAAACCAATGTGAATTGATGGTCAGGTGTCACAAAAGTTTGCCGCCGCCATCTAGTGGTGGGGGTCTGAAGTGCATTTGCTTTTTTTTTTTTCCCCCCTTGCATCCCATGACAAAAAACGGCCAAGTGATTTCTTGTATTGTGAAAAACTAGGAAAATCAAGGCAATTCTATCTCAAGGCACCAAATAAACAATTAAAAGTCCACCTCATATGTTACCCTCGTGGGCATAAGTAGCATAGAAAATGGATGGACAGATAACTGGAGAAATCTATACAACAAGGCTTTCCTTTGCTACCTGTTTCTTTGTACATTTTCCAAGCACATGATCCATCAGTTAATTATACCCATGTTGATGTTTTCCAGGCGTGCAAACGTTACTTGACATCAGTTATCAAAGTATGGACATGTCTAGCACGTTGAGCTCTTGTGACAGAGCCCTGGATGAGCACATGACGGCCTGCTTGAAGCTGGTGGAGGAAAAAGTCAACGGCCTCCTAAATCTGCAGTCCATCATTGTCTTCCAGGAGAGCTTAACACAGTGTGTATGTGCACTTGTCATTCGATGTGACCACTTTTCACAAACTTTCGGCTTTCCATTTATTGTTACTTTAAGCCAGTAGACTCCAATGGTGCTCAACATGACTGTGTTTTTCTCACCATCAGGACCTCGCTAGCGATGGCTTTGGTTCCATAGCGGATCAATTTCGAGGGAAGGGGAACACGCCTGCAGTCAACCTGTCCACCGCAGCTTCAACCCCGCCACCCGAGTAGGTCTTATTCATGACTTCATTAAATCACTACCGGACGTGACATTCAAAAGATCACATCAATGTAATCGTTGAGAAGCAACTACAGTGAAACTTTCAGAGTGGAAAACACCAAAAAGTAGTATGATTACAATTTAAATTGCGCCTCGAACGCCAGAATTGAAACCACGAACCAAGAAAACATAAATGGAACTTATTGTGACGTTGGAAATGGCCTGGCCACTCAGTATGACGTGACCATGTACAAATATGGTAATGTGAATGGTTGAATGGCGGGCTGGGTGATGAATCAATTATTAATTCCTTCAAATTTGTCAGGATTTTTTTTTTAAACCGGCTTCCGTCGTACACTAAGTGCATTGCTTCCACTAGCGCATGGCTGCAAACAGGAGCTTGCAATAGGAATCAGTCTTGCCAATGTAGCGAATGGATCGCTGTGTCGAACAACTTTTCCGACCCCTCAGGAGAGAAAAGCAGCTAGTGAGCATAATTCCTGCGAAGTAACGTGACAGCTGAATCAGTTGACCATTTTCAGTTTAAATAAAAACGAGCCTGGTGGAAGGCAATCATGGAGACATCAAGCTGAACATTACCAAAGACATAGCGGCCGTCAAACGTTGCAAAAGCAGTGATTGATTAACATGTTGAAAGCTTTTGACCGTGAGGTATGTGCCACCAAGTTTCAAATATTTTGTAAAGGTTACCTTGCCTCAGCTGTTAAAGACGTTACATGAGAAAAGAATCCGAGCGAGTTGGAGCAGGTAAGGGGTTAAATTTTTGCACCAGCTGACCCAACCCATGCAGTTTGGCAGATTACTTCATTCATGTTAAATTAGCTTACAAATATGTTTCGATAAAAAGGACGTTTTTGTTCCCCCCCCCCGCGAAACGCCAGAATAAGCCTTCGGAGGGCACAGTAAATTTTCAGGAGGAGTCTGGCTGGTACCGTGTTACAGCAGAGTAGTGATGTATGAACAGTGAAGTAACGGCGAACTTAATAAGCGTGTAGTGAGTAAATAATACAACAGCGATATAAATTTCAGCAAAATCCCCCAGGCCTACTGAGCGCGGCAAGAACATAGACGGGGTGCAGCCAAATAACAAATGTTGCAAGGATTCCAGAGTCAATTCGGGACACTGCGGTGGAAAATGAGAATAATCAAACCCTGGATAACATGTAAACATGTCTCTGAATGTTTGAGAGTAACGCAGGGGTGTTGTCCAAAATATAGGGTTGTGGAAATTGTAGAACTCGAAGAAAGCGACAATTTCTCACGTGCGCACTCCGAGAGAGAGTGTGTCGTGTTTTTTTTTTATTTGCACCACAAAAAAACCACTCGTGCCAAACGAAGCCCGCCGAAAGTAAGTTTCCATAGAAACAAGCAGACTAAAATGGCGGTCCTTAAAGGGACTGCAATTATTTCTACCCCGTTACCAAATAATCGTGAACTCTCTGACAAGCATATGAACATTGCATTCACACATTTGCAGTTGGTGGTGAATTATGTACACAGAAGTCACTACACCTTCATTTTTATCCTTCGAAATGCAAGTGTTGAACTGTTCACTCACTGTACTGTGTTCGACATTTAGCGTTGCAATCCAGATCAAGCAGAAGAAGCTGAAGGAGCAAAAGGCTCAGTTCGAAGCTCAGTACACTCAAACGACAACCAACCTGGAGCATGAAATCGCCACGCACTGCAACCTTGAGGCGATGGTCAACGTCAAGAATGCCGGCGACGAAGGCTCCGACCGCGAGAAAGGTGAACCTTTACTCGATGAGAAGGATGGATGGATCGATAGCTTAGAATAAACAGGCACATGTTTGTCTAACGCAGACATGTCCAGCTCCAGTCCTCGAGGGACGCTATCCTGCCTGTTTCACATCTCTCCGTCCTGCAACACACCTGATTCAAATGATCATCTCATAAGCAAGCCCGATAACATTCCTGATCATTGAATCAGGTGTGTTGGAGGAGGGAGACATCTAAAACATGCGGGACAGGAGCCCTTGGCGACCAGATTTGGATTTGGAAAAGCAGATTTGGATTTGCTTCATTATTTCTAGCTAAAAAAAAAATTGTCCCTCATTAGCATTTACCAAAAAAATTCTGAGGCTGAATACTCTTAATGTTGTCCACAGCGGATCTTCTGGATCAGCTACAGAAGTTGGCACATCTGGAAGATACCATCAGGAAAATCCTGATTGAGACGGGAGAGAATGACCTTGACACACTGGTGGAAAACTTCTTAGGAAGTAGGGTCAAAATTCAGCAATGGTCAAGAATCACCGGAGTGATTTTCCTTGAAAGTAATTTGCGTTTTTCTTTTTCATCAGTGGAGGAGGAGAACTATTCGTTACTGAGCTTTGTCAACTATCAGCACTGGGAAGTGGAGGACATGAAACAGCAGATCGCTCAGGTTTCGTGCCGCTCATTTTCCAAACTAGGTCATTGGAAAAGTCCAGTTCGGTTGTCATTGGACTGAATGTGCCGCTTGCTTTGTCCCCACCCAAAGCTTTACAAGGAGAGTGAGCTCTTTGTTGCTGAGCAGAAACAGCAGGCTCAGGATCGCCAAGCTCTCCAGGCGGCCATTACCACTAAGCAAGAGACTACTGAGGAGCAGCTAAGCGGCTACGAAAAGCGAATTGACTTCCTGGAAAATATTGTCAACAGCCTTAAAAAAGGTACAGCAGAGCAACTGAAAATCCAGTGGTGTGTTGTACGCTGTATAATAACAAAAATAATAACAATACATCTTGATGTATATGGCGTTTTTACAACCGCTGCAGCTGTAACAAAGCGCTTTACAGAACGTTTAACATAAAATTAACAAAACTACAACCAAGCATCAACAATAATACAATCGTAACAACTCTTCCCGCGTACGCCTGACAAGCTTAATGCTGCATTACCACCACCAACAGGTATTCTCCTTCCAGCGAAAGGAAACCAATGTGAATTGATGGTCAGGTGTCACAAAAGTTTGCCGCCGCCATCTAGTGGTGGGGGTCTGAAGTGCATTTGCTTTTTTTTTTTTCCCCCCTTGCATCCCATGACAAAAAACGGCCAAGTGATTTCTTGTATTGTGAAAAACTAGGAAAATCAAGGCAATTCTATCTCAAGGCACCAAATAAACAATTAAAAGTCCACCTCATATGTTACCCTCGTGGGCATAAGTAGCATAGAAAATGGATGGACAGATAACTGGAGAAATCTATACAACAAGGCTTTCCTTTGCTACCTGTTTCTTTGTACATTTTCCAAGCACATGATCCATCAGTTAATTATACCCATGTTGATGTTTTCCAGGCGTGCAAACGTTACTTGACATCAGTTATCAAAGTATGGACATGTCTAGCACGTTGAGCTCTTGTGACAGAGCCCTGGATGAGCACATGACGGCCTGCTTGAAGCTGGTGGAGGAAAAAGTCAACGGCCTCCTAAATCTGCAGTCCATCATTGTCTTCCAGGAGAGCTTAACACAGTGTGTATGTGCACTTGTCATTCGATGTGACCACTTTTCACAAACTTTCGGCTTTCCATTTATTGTTACTTTAAGCCAGTAGACTCCAATGGTGCTCAACATGACTGTGTTTTTCTCACCATCAGGACCTCGCTAGCGATGGCTTTGGTTCCATAGCGGATCAATTTCGAGGGAAGGGGAACACGCCTGCAGTCAACCTGTCCACCGCAGCTTCAACCCCGCCACCCGAGTAGGTCTTATTCATGACTTCATTAAATCACTACCGGACGTGACATTCAAAAGATCACATCAATGTAATCGTTGAGAAGCAACTACAGTGAAACTTTCAGAGTGGAAAACACCAAAAAGTAGTATGATTACAATTTAAATTGCGCCTCGAACGCCAGAATTGAAACCACGAACCAAGAAAACATAAATGGAACTTATTGTGACGTTGGAAATGGCCTGGCCACTCAGTATGACGTGACCATGTACAAATATGGTAATGTGAATGGTTGAATGGCGGGCTGGGTGATGAATCAATTATTAATTCCTTCAAATTTGTCAGGATTTTTTTTTTAAACCGGCTTCCGTCGTACACTAAGTGCATTGCTTCCACTAGCGCATGGCTGCAAACAGGAGCTTGCAATAGGAATCAGTCTTGCCAATGTAGCGAATGGATCGCTGTGTCGAACAACTTTTCCGACCCCTCAGGAGAGAAAAGCAGCTAGTGAGCATAATTCCTGCGAAGTAACGTGACAGCTGAATCAGTTGACCATTTTCAGTTTAAATAAAAACGAGCCTGGTGGAAGGCAATCATGGAGACATCAAGCTGAACATTACCAAAGACATAGCGGCCGTCAAACGTTGCAAAAGCAGTGATTGATTAACATGTTGAAAGCTTTTGACCGTGAGGTATGTGCCACCAAGTTTCAAATATTTTGTAAAGGTTACCTTGCCTCAGCTGTTAAAGACGTTACATGAGAAAAGAATCCGAGCGAGTTGGAGCAGGTAAGGGGTTAAATTTTTGCACCAGCTGACCCAACCCATGCAGTTTGGCAGATTACTTCATTCATGTTAAATTAGCTTACAAATATGTTTCGATAAAAAGGACGTTTTTGTTCCCCCCCCCCAAGAGTAAAAACTGATTTGAACATTATAAGTAAAGAAAAAAAGTTGAACGGTATTGTATTTACATATGTCCTGTGGAAGTGTATTTATAATCCCAGAAAAAAGAGCAAAACTTGAGTAGAGTTATTTGCTTTTCATTGAAGAGAAATGGGAGCGAATGATAAAATGACTAAAATCAGAAATCGACTGGAGTTTTTGAAAAATCTTGACTTTTTATTTTAAGGCCATATTGCCCGGCCCTAGCGGAAAGCATTATAATGGCTAAAGACTTGACATGAAAATGACCGGAATCCTTGTCAAAAGTACACACATCATATTCATGAAGACTTGAGGCTGTAAAAGGTGAATCAAGAAACAATTGCGCAAAGGCGACACATTTCCTTCATGTTATCGTTACGTGGTACTGCGTGTTTATTTTGGAATGAGGCCATAACCCAAAGACAAACATTTCCTACAGTCTCCCCAGAAGAGCGGAGGCTGTTACACATGCAAGTCTTTTCCTTTCTTGTACTTTTCACTACCTTTAGGTGCTCCGGTACAGTTGTCTAAAATGCGTATCAAAAATGTGTTCATTCATCGTTTTCATGTGAAAAGATTAAACCAGAGTATATGATGTGATATGCAGTGAGGACAAACCCCGGAAAGGTAGTCGTTCGGCAAGCAAGGGAGCAAATGAGAGGATGGGTTCCCACAGCAGCCCATAAGTGGGTAAGTTACGTGGAGACAACAGGTGGCAGGAAAGCTTCTGTTATTTGTAATTGCGTTCCATTCGAGGTATCACTAAAATCAGGGTTTCGTCTTCAGAGTCGGAGAGAAACAAGACACGAGGACCAGGGGTCTGTGTTGTGCATAGATCATGCACTAACAACGAGCTGCTCTGCATTAGCCAGTCATACTTGGATGATGGCCAATCACGAGGCTGGTCCTGATGTGCAGATGTTTCCATGGGGAAAGCTGCAGCTTTCACGCACATGTTCACTTTCGATATGGATCCGATGCGGTGTTTTACACGGGCGGGGGCCACAGATGAACTGCTCCTCCCAAATTGCGCTCCTGCCGATGGCCTGTCAAAAGCACAAAACATCAAACGTGGACTGCGAAAAAAGACTCTCTGCACTTTCAAATGAACCCGTCAATCTGCGATAAACACATTTTCATTGTGTCACGAGCACTTCCAGTCTCAACGTCAAGGAGAGGTGAAGGCAATGGAACGGAAGAAAAACAGTCGGTGATGAATACAGTACATGGACATGCGTAGCTCTTCTAGGCACCCAATTTATCCGTTTTAGTTCAAATGTAGACATGCATTTACAGGGCAGGCGCAAGATACAAGACCTGAGAGTTAAAGGAAAAGAGCAACGGGATGATTTTCAGTCTTTTTTTTTTATTGTCAAGCCATTCTGAATGATTTGGAGGGTGAATATTAGTCCAAACCAGTGTTTCTTAACCTGGGTTCGATCGAACCCCAGGGGTTCGGTGAACCCGAGGTTCGACGGAGCCTCTGCCATGCAGGGTGAGACACGCGACTCAACATGTTAATTAGTTAGGACACGCCCGCTTGGCCATCACTGGCTGCAGATGATCACATTAAATTGCTTGTCCAATCAGTGCCACGGGAAATTTAGTTCGCTTAGTAGTCAACGTGTGACTGTCGTGATAGTACGTCGTACAATTAAAAAAATATAGATTCTTATCTCCTGAAATTATATTTACTTTTTTTTCTGTTTTTAATAAATGCGTTTTTTTTAAACATCTTGAATTTGTAATCAATATATTTATTTATTTTTCACTCATTAAGGGTTCGGTGAATGTGCAAATTAACTGGTAGGGTTCGGTATCCCTAAAAAGGTTAAGAACCACTGGTCTAAACGAAAAGAGAAAACACCATGACGGAGCAACTTGGGTACTGGTGGGAAGGGGCGGGATGTAACAATAGTATCAAATGAGTGATTTCAAGCGTTTCCTTTCAAGCTATCCAGTGCCCGGCAGCACTGGACCTCAAATGGATTTCACAAGACCACAAAATGAGAAGCGTTCTTCTGAAGCTGTTTGAGAATTTGACCTGAGAGGGTGCACACGGCTTCTTTCGGTTTACAGGCTTACAGTTCTTAAGAACATGATGAAAAACAGGCACGCGTGGCAACAAAAAGCCATTATTGTGTATGTACATGTACAATCTGATAGTCGTATTTCAAGTATTATTGCTTTAATCGTGTTACTATGAGGCTGCATGTCACAGCCAGATGACATTTGAACACATTCAGCATTCATAACTGAATAAGATTAAATACTCCGCTCCAAAGTATGACAAGTGTGCCCCACCGCAAACATGATTCTTGGGTATTTCTGAAGTAAACCATTTCTATTCCCCCAAAATCATCCGGAGTGGTCAAAGTGAACCACCCTGCTTTCTCGTCGTGATCGCTCCGCCTCAAACACCAGCAAGTGGCTCCGCAGTGTCTCCTCGGGACCAGAGGCGATGAGTGACGGGTCATTGTTCTGTTGGCACAAAGACAAAACCTCCGTTTTTGCCTGAGTTGTTTGAGCTTGAAAGTCGGTTCTGCCGTGACAAAGGAAAAAAAAGTCTGCAAATTACACTAGGGAGAATCAAAGAAGACTCACAGCCACAGCAGAAATGAACGAGTCGATCAAGCAGTAATCAGCTCGACGGTGTCCAGACAGGTCAAAGTTCTTGGGGCAATCCACGCTCACCACATAATTGGTGGCTTTCTGGGTTAGAAAGTCGAACACGCGGATCTCGTCGTTTTTAAATGACAACTCGCCCTGAAAAGTTGGGGTTGAATTGTCATTTTGATGTCGAATGCATTTTAATTTGGGATGGGACTCTTATGCTAACTTTAATTTCATTATGATAAATACATTCATTGCAAATGAATGAATCCACTCATTTTATCAACGTTTGCGTTTCAAGCAATGCCGAATGCTTTTCAGTGCACCCGTTGCCGGTACACGCATTATACTGATGGATACATCAGAGCTCACTGAATTCCTGACAAAATAGAGCAAGCGCCGGTGCTGCTTTGACGGAAAGGCAAATTGTGTTGAAAAAAATAAATACATCTTAAAAAAGCTATATGATGGAAGCCTTGCTCAACTTTTCAACTGCCATCACAAAGCATTTCAAGGTCATGGGCTCTCTGCGCAAAATCCCCCACGCTGATCAACCGCGACTCGATCTTTTCCGGTTTTGAAAGTGGCGACAGTCTGGATGCGGTTTTTGCAGGACGTGGCCAAATGACCCTTTCACAGATGTACAAAATCTTTTTGAGGCATCCTCCAGAGCACGGAGCCGCAAGGAGAACCTTGATGATGTGAGTCCCACCCCTAATTGTAAGTGATACGCATCAGATTGGATGTCGGTCACAATTGAGTTTCTTCTTTGTACCTTGCTGCCATAGATAGTTGTTTTTCGTTTGCAGATATCTTCGGTGAAAGCCACCATAGAAAAGGCTGCGGTCAGGCCACCTTCAAACTCCATGTTAACAATCTGCAAGAGAAACGGAAGACGTTCCGAAAATGCAGTATAACTCTACAGGTGAACGTTTTTCTCTTTGTCCGCTGCTGCAGCGATGCGGAAAAAGTAGCAGCAGCAGCAGCAGATCTTCCGTGTCAAGGGAAAACAAGCTCGAGGGAAACAAATTATGCTCATAGTTTGTTTTCCGACTTGTGTTCAATGAACACAAAATGGATGATAAAAGCTCGTTTTCTGTTTTTTCCTTTTCCTTGTTTTTATTCGTAATTTTATGCCAGAGGCTGCGGGCCGGTGGGAATTTGAACACAGGATGCAATTGACCCCTGGGGGGACTTGCTTCATGTCGATAAAGCAATATATGGGTGCACTTAATGACCCATTTTCCATTATGATCAAATTGGATTTTTCATTTTTTGAACTGTGATGTGTTTTTCGGCAAAAATGAAGTGAATTGAGTTGAGTCCACTGGCACCACAAAGGGCTTATATCCATTTTTTGCCCTGTAGTAAAAGTAGAAAATGTCTTTGAATTGTCAACGACGACTCCTCCCTCAAGATATTTTCAAGTTTTGAACATCAGCATTTCAAATTCAAGGTCTTTTAACCTGGTTACTGCAGACGTCGTTGTCACACTCATAGACGCATCGGCCGTATGGTCCAGTCCTCAGAGCCTCATGTGCAGTCTCCATGTCTGGCAAAGTGTCGGGGCATAAGTCGGACATCGGCCGGCCAACACGGCCCTAAGGAGGGAAAAAAAACAACAACAACAAATAAAGCACCATCAAGCATGCAAAATCCACAACATTTGCTACAATGATCACCTGTTTCACCTTGTCCAGGTAGATTTTGCTTGCGGAGTAAGGACAAGTGTCCTCGACGGAACAGTCCAGGCAGCGATCACCAGCCCCTGCTGGCTAATGCGACATGTCTCACGCGTACAGTCCAGAAATAATGATCAAATAGCATCCACACATTCCTTGAGTTGAAGCTGCTCAAAACAAGTGCTGCACATTTAAAAAAAAAAGGTACAAGAATACCTTGTTCTCTGGTCTGAAGTGGCTGACAAAACCAAACGACGTCACTTTCAAACACCTGCAAGAACAAGTCGCGATGTCATGCCTTCCTTTTTGGGCGGCAAACAAATGTCTTTGCATCCAAACCGTAACATGATGAGCGATACTGAACTGCTTGGTGTGGATTAGTTGAAGTGCTGACATAGAACTGGGTGTCGTCAGTATCGGAATAAAAAGATAAGTACGGATAATCTGACCAAGAATTCTGAACAGGGGGGTGCCAAGTACGGAGCCTTGTGGCACTCGTTGCTAGACTGAAACCGGAGACTTTCTGTTGCGGGCTACAGATGCTGGCAAACGGATTTCGGTCGCAAAGTATTACCTGCGTGTTCCGGCCCAGTGATGGATCAGGTCAATGTCGTGGCACGATTTGGCCAGAAGAGAGAACGAGCTCTCCGCTTCATTCCTCCAGTTTCCCCGAACGTAGGAGTGAGCAAAATGAAAAAAGCCAACCTGAAGAAAGACGTGGATCTCGTGTTTGCGCGTGTGAATGTGTGTACAAAAATATATCATCACAGATTTTGGCTAAGTGTAACTTTATTCCTGCTTACTGGCTCTAAGTGCTGGATGTGGATCACATCACCAATGACACCGTTGTCAATCAACTCCTGGTAAAACAAATTTTCATTACCATTTTTGAAGGACATAAAGGTATTTGGGGGATATTAGGATCTACCTTCAAGGCGACAACAATACCCAGATGCAGTTGGGAAAGCTTTTAAGAGAGGGAAGTTGCAAAATTCAAATCACCTTTATCTTACAGATGTAGGGATCGTATCGTAGAACATGACCCACGCACAGCATCACGCCGGTCTTCGAGCACGCCGCCACAATCTCTATGCAGTCTTTAGCCGTCGTCTGAAGTCACAGAGAGGTGAAAAGGAATGCGTTTTCATTTCAGCAAGATGCAGCAGGATGAAAGTAGTCGCGATTGCGCAATAGGGGGCAGCGGATCCCCCGTACTGCATTGTTTTTCTTCCTAATGTACAATTTATATTTCATATACAGCAGTAATTCAACTGGTAATGTGTACAGGCTATCTGAACGTGTTATTTCTGAGTTCTATGATGCTGATGAGAGTCGGATGTTTACGTGCCACGAAGGAAGGCACCTTTCCCCAGTGTGGGACAAATAAAGGTTTCCTTATCTTATCTTATCTTTTCCTTGGAACTGCTTCCTCGAACATTTTAAGACTTTCATGAAAAGCAAACCAATGTGATGTGTGTTTGCTCCCACTGACTCATGTCAATGCCCAACCATTGGACCCCAAAGGTCTCAAACTTAGGCTTTAAATCGGACAGTGATTTTAAACTGGATTTGTCAAATTGGTG